TTTTTTTTTTTTGAGACAATTTTACTTCATTACCCTGAATGGAGTGCCAGGGAGTCCCAGATCACACCTTAATGCTTGGGCTTTAATGCTTAACCTTAAATTTAACCTTAAATGCTTAGGTTTAAGCACTCCTCTTCCTCAGCCTCCCGAGCAGCTGGGACTACAGGCACCCGCCACAATGCCTGGCTATCTTTAGAGATGGGGGTCTTGCTCTTGCTGAGGCTGGTCTCGAACAGGTGAACTGAGATAATCCACCTGCCTCAGTCTCCCAAAGTGCTAGGATTACAGGCCTGAGCCACAGCACCTGGCTTAATTTTTCTTTATATTCCTAAGAGATTGGCTAGGCCAACTCACCTTCCCTCACTATCTTTACAGTAGGGACATGTGCATGCTTCCCGCCGGGTCCTCCGACCAGCTTGAGGCTGGGGATCTGGGCTATTCTCTCCTTCCTCTCCACCTGCTGTGTCATCATGTATTCCATCACCACCAGCCCCATGAAGACCAAGCTGACTTCCATGATCACCTGAAATTAAGAAAAAAAAAAAGGTCAAGGTGGAAAGTAAGGAAGTTATCACAGTCCCAGTTATCGCAGGGAAACCCTACGTACACAGTACCACTTCATCAAACTTATGAAGCCATATTCATTGATACCACAAATACTTAAAATCTCAGGAACGGCCAGGCTTGGTGGTTCACATCTATAATCCTAGCACTCTGGGAAGCTGAGGCGGGTGGATTCCTTGAGCTCACGGGTTTGAGACCAGCCTGAGCCAGAGTGAGACCCCATCTCTACTAAAAATATAAAAATCTGAGGGAAGAAGATTGTTTGAGCCCAAGAATTGAAGGTTGCTATGAGCTATGATGTCACCACAGCACTCTACCCAGGGTGCCAACTCGAGACTCTATGTCAAAAACAAACAAACAACAACAACAACAAAAATCCCTCAGGAATCATTGAGAATACAAAGAGCCAAAAATATATAAAATTTTGATCAATCTCATTTAAAAAATATACCTCCACTTATAATGAATTTGTAACTTTTCACCTATCAGATTAACAAAAGTTGAAACTTATAATACACAGCAATAGCAAAGGGATAGGGAAATAGGCATTTTCATATATAGGTGGTATAAATTTGTACAGCCTTTTTTTTTTTTTTTTGAGACAGAGCCTCAAGCTGTCCCCCTGGGGTAGAGTGCCATGGCATCACAGCTC